AAGAAATATGGCTGTATGAAGATATATTCAAAAAATACTTCATCTGAATAATACAAGAAGATTTCCCATTTTCCAATCGTGTTTTTAAAATGTTTATATTCTTTTTGTTCCAAACTTAATAGAAGGATTATTTTTCCTTTTTTATCATGGATTATAGACACGCACGCACTATAGTTACTTTTTATTGTTCTTCCTTCTTAATAATTAGATGCTTCCCATTCCAAACTTACCCTATTATCTCTTTATGCTTCCCTTGGACTCAAAGGGAAGCTTAAATATACTCTAAAGCTTAGAGTATATAAGCAAGCAGTAAGCTTGCTTATTTAAACTTATGGTGATTTCGTTACTTTTTATTTATTTAGTAGTAAGATGTACAAAACAGGTTTTACAGGTTGCGACCCTTCACATTGTACATAATGTAAATTAAACAAAAATATGCATCTAAATACTTAAATAACTATTACATTCATTATAATAAAAATTTTTGAATAACATCGCTAAGTCACTAAATATTATTAAGAGAAAATAAGTAAAAAATTACACCAATGCGTTAACAAGCTTTCTCTTAAAAGTTAATGTATTATTACAGTTGAAAATATCCATATTCGATTTTTTTTTTTTATGGAATTGGGGGCAGTCGAGCAGGCGGATCACCTGATGGTGAGTGATTACCGCCGACCATGGACACCTGCAACACCAGAGGAGCTACAAGTGCGCTGCCGGCCTTTGAGGGACGAATAAGCTCTACGCTTGAAAGTTTGAAGGTCGCATCGGTCCGGAAATACCGTTGGCGACAAACTGTTCCAGAGTTTGGCTGTGCGAGGCAGAAAACTTCTAGATAAACGCACAGTTGAGGACTTCCAACCATCCACATGATGGGCGTGGATTTCTTGTTGCGTGGAACGATGGCGGAAAGTAGCGGCAGGTATAAGTCCGAACAATTCCTCGGAGCATTCCCCGTAATATAGAAGATGCACAGTGAAGCAACATCTCTACGCAGGGCCAGTGGATCAAGCCGACTTGAAGTGTCCCGGCAATCGACGATTCGAGTCGCTCTCCGCTGAATGCGGTCTAGAGGGAGAAGCTGGTATTGGGGTGCACCTGCCCAAAGATGAGAACAGTATTCCATATGGGGCCGAACCTGCGCCTTGTAAAGCTGCAGGCGATGCGCCGGAGTGAAATATTGCCTCGATCTATTAAGCACACCAAGCTTCTTAGATGCTAATTTAGCTTTATCCTCTAAGTTCATTATATCGGACCACTGAGGTCATTATATCGGCGGCACATTCTAAATATAGGATTATAGTAAGAACTATTATTAAGATACACACTAAGTGTAAATATTTTTGGTCTTCTTGTGCGATAATTAGTATTATAGATCGTGTCCTTGGACTTAATACTTATAACAGGACTTAGAACTCTGAAAAATTGTAATTACAAAAATTGCTCTTATCACTATCAATGAATGTGTACTTTTAATTGTTTTTTGTACAGAAGCTAATCCGAGCTGGTAAAATAGTCACAACGGAGGCCGTGTCTTGTTCTTTCATATTGTTATTATAAAAAAATATCGTTAATTAATAAGCTAAAATAACCTGAATGGAAAAATTTGTACTTTAATGGTAACTAATTTAAAATTTTAAGTTATTATATCAGAACATTAATTTCGTTTATATTAAATTATATTCTATATTTTACGATTAAGATATAAAACAACAATGTTTTAAAAATATGTAACAACTATGTATACCATGAAGTCTTTTAATATGTGGATGATGGTGTATGTGGTCATAACAAATTTATTTATTATTAATAATATTTATTATCAATTCAGATTTCCATAAAATTAAGAAATACGACAAAAATGTCTCAACTGTTGGGGGCAGATTCTGTTTGCAGATTCTGTTATGACCACATACCAGATACGTGAAGCAGATACTTCAGTTGTATGCAGTCGTCCGTTACTATGAAAGGGTTTATTTCAACAAACGAAATTAAATTTGTTTTATTACGTAATTTCGACTGTACAATTGCACTAAGAAACTTCATAAAACAATTTTTCAGTAATGTATAATGATTATTTATTTAATATTGATTTCAAAACAAATATTTATTAGAACATTTGCATTGAAATGTCATCACATCAGTGTAATAAATATACTTTTTTTTTGTATAATATGGCAGGCACGGCTTGATAAATATACTTATATTATCAATGAATAAATAAACAATCGTTTATTTATTTATATAAAATCAAATGATGAAGTATTAAAAAAATATTTCCGAAATCAAACTAGATGTCGCTAGCTGTCGGAGAAATCAAGAACGGCACGTTCGGGTTTGACAACCCTTCTGGTTTTCTTTCATGTATAAAAGTAAATTAATTTTCAAAACTCAATATATATATCATATTCTATTTGTACTTTTTCGTATTTTGATAATAGATTATAGCTAATTTCAGTTTTTTAATATGTTTGTTAAAAGGAACGGAAAAGATTATCTTTGGTCCATTCCTTACCTGTAAAAATCAACTTTTGGTAGAGTCGCCATCTAGTGGAGGTGCTTTTTTAGTGCTTTCTTTTTTTTTAATACTACCTCATTCAATGTAGGGGAGGTTTGTGACCGATATTGACAGATTGGGCAATCTCATGAGTAGACAAACACTTGCGTTTCTCCGTACATATTATAAGGGCGCGCGATTCGTGATGTCATGAAAAGCCCATAAAAGGTTTAACTAGATTATTGTGTACGAAAATAGCCGCAACCACAATAACCACAATATGAAAAGTCTCACTTAATTAAAATGCGCTTATTTCTTAGAAGCTGCAGACAAAATATGTTTGTCTTTAGTAAAATAACGTCAAGATCGTCAACATAGAGCATCGTATTTTGCGCAATATTGGCTATTTAATCTTTAACAATTATTTTCATCGAAAATAGAACAGATTTTCATTAAATATATTGTCAGTGTGCTTATAATGTTTCATACAATTATTTAAAATAGTTATTTTAAATAAATAAATAAATAAACAAGGATTTTTAACCAATTTCAAGAAAAGGAGGATCTCAATTCGAGCTGTATATGATTTCGTTTTAATGGCGTAATATTAATATATGTTGGTCTGTATGTTTGTTTACATATTTCTCGCAAATCAAACATCGGACTACAATGATTCTTTTTTGTTTAATTGCTTAGATTTCAGCTTAGGCAACACTAAGTTTGTGATAACAAAGTTACTATAGTAAAAACAGACTCATAATGGCAGAACGCTACAGCCTATGGCCACACTTTATGTTTAATAGGGTATGACCACATGTCTCTTACCGGCTTAATAACAGTTTCTAGCAGTGTTGCTAGATTAGTTTTTTTTTGTAATATCGGGAAAAAATATTATATTTGGCACATAAATTTTAGGAAGAATGATTTGGAAATTAATAGGATTATAGGAGGCCATGAAATCTGATATAGTTCAAAATTTAAAACAAACTAAATAAAAAATAATTTCATTGTTGTAAAAGTCATGGATAAATAAGATTATTTTATTCAATTAATGTTGGAAGGGAATGAATTTATAAAAAGAAACAGTAGTAATCACCGCAAAAATTGAGCAATTCCAATGTGCCTGTGGCGATTGATACGTAGCGATTTTTGACATATTGCACTAATATCGCCACAACAATCGTTAGCAAGAAAGCTAGCATCGCCATGACAATCGATAGCAAGACGAACTGCAAGAAGTTACAACACTCAGTAACGAGATGGTACTGTACCACTACAAACATTATAAATTACGATATTAGAAATCATTTAGAACAAAGGATACCTACATCGCCCACAGTAAGTTTCATTACCAATTAGAACGTCTAACCTACATTGGTAGGACCGCGGTCGCAGGGGTAACAACACCTAGCTCGGAGGGACACAATCACCCTGTAGTCTCCCTTGCTAGTTGTCTCCATCATCCAGTAGGACCACGCCTTTACATCCAGGTTCAATCTGTGTCATGTCAAAATCACTGATTCGTATTTTCAATCAAAGGTTCGCAATTTTGATATGTCAATATCAGCGCTCTCTCTTGAACTCCACTTTGATACTTGATTTAGTATCAATAAACTGTTTTTGCGTATTCCGTATGCATTAATGGCCATAAAAGTGAACTTCAATGAGTCATTTCATCTAAATTAAAAAGAAATATAGCAACTGACTAGGAATTGCCGATTTATTAAAAATGAGTTACAAAATACCGATGATGATATATAATGAGCTTTAGAGAACAGTTGTCTTTTCCTGTTTCTCGTCTTCCTCAAAAATTTCAGTTGATTGTTCGCGAGTATAACGTGCGTATCTTTAGTTAATGGATGACAACTTCATGAGATGACCTGAAACCGGGTCTGGTGATTTTTAGGTTCTCACAGCGAGTGAATTGATGACGAGTAACGAAAATGGGCGCATTGAACGCCTATCCTACACATTTAGTGCAGGCGCTTTCTGACGCTCGTATAAATAAATATAGGACGTCTCAAAAGTTCTATTCAAATTAACGCTCTGTGCCGAAAATAAAATACTACGTGATAAAAAGCATCGCGTTTTAAAAGCGCTGACTCGTATATTTAAGTAATTTTGGTAGTGAAAAATAAGTGACGAAATTGAACAAAAACTTAAATTTAATTAAACTTTGAAAAAACTCTTGTGGAAATTAGGTTTAAAATGATCTAAGTACAAACCATTAGATTCTAAAATGTAAATAAAGGTAAATGTTGATTAAGAAGGTAAAATATTGTCTAAATTATCATCAAAAATGGATACATTCCCTTTTTTTCTAATCACTCGGGGAAAAAAATATCGCGTACATTGTTATACATCGCTTTGATTTAATCTTCAATTTTAAGATTAAATCATACACCTACACACCAGTTAAAAATGGTAATTTATGTTATTGTATATGGCAATCGAAATTACGAGGCCACCAAGAACTAAGCGTCTGTCAATTTAAAAATTTGACGGTTATGTTTCAAACTTCGCAACTGTTTACGCTTTTTACGAAATAAAGTTGAGTTGAGTGTTCTTTTATTAGATAATCTTTGTGAATTGAGCTTCAATTAATTGACGCAAACCGTTATCGTTTAAGTATATTCCTTTTGTCTTGTGAAACTGTTTTGTGTGGTTGTGTTTATCGAATTAATGATAAAATTTGTGAAAGCGTTTTATGATGGTTCGAATAGATAAAATGCCTTTTTCTGGTAAAGACAAAAAACCCCCAGGTACTTTGGCGCCTTCGAAATGTGGATCTACACAGAATATGGCTGCAAATATAAAAGTTGTGGTAAGGGTTCGACCCTTAAACGAACGAGAGCTAGAGCAGAACAGTCGCATAGTTGTAGACGTCGTTGACGAGAAAATGCTTGTATTTGACCCTAAAGAAGAGATTCGACCTTTCTTCTACCAAGGAGTACAACAGCCTAACAAGAATTTCTTGAAACGCGCCAACAAAGAATTGAAATTTGTGTTTGATAATGTTTGTGGCCAAAATGCTAGTAACAGAGATGTCTTTGAGACCACCACCAAGGATATTCTGACGGCCCTTATGGAGGGATATAACTGTTCAGTATTTGTATATGGAGCTACAGGTGCTGGTAAAACTTTCACTATGATTGGTAATGCTGAGCACCCAGGTATCACATATCTGACTATGGAACACCTTTTCTACACAATAAATTCATTTGAGAAAGAAAGAGAGTTTGATATTGGAGTCTCTTATATTGAAGTAAGTATCAGTATTCTATTTCCTAAGTATGCTACTAGTCTTTGTAGACTAATAGTGTAAAAATGAAACAGTGCAACAACAAATCTTGTGTTAGACTGCCAGAGGTCTTATGGGTTATTAAAATGATAGCAAACTTATATTTATGAATAAATAACTGGGCAGGCATGGTTTTTGAATTGTCAACATATTATCTTTTCTGATCAGACTCATTTCTATTAGATAAGTAATTTATTATTCAAAGAATGAACTCCTTTTATTCTTAATGAAGAATGCTTAAAATATCCACTCTGCCCCTGGTACTCTGAGATGGGATTTAGAAACAAAGTAGATTTTTTTTATGTATTTTTCATTAAGAATATTATTCAGTATAGCACTGTGAATGCAAAATTAATCTAATAGTTCTATATACATTTTATTTCACAGGTTTACAATGAAAATGTATATGATTTGCTGAAGCCATCAAATACTCCTCTTCAACTCCGTGAAGACTCAAAGTATGGAGTGATGGTTGCCGGTCTCACTTTGAACAACATTAAAACTGCAAGAGAACTCCTCAACATGTTAGAGAATGGCAATAAGAATAGGACACAGCATCCAACTGACGCTAATGCTGAGAGCTCAAGGAGTCATGCAGTGTTTCAGGTAATAATTAAATACAAACAGTATTTTTCCTCTCAAGACTATTGAGGAAAGAATATTATCTCTCATTCTTTCATAATTGAAAAACAGCTCTCATATCACTTAATCACCATCATCACCAGTCCTATCATGTCCCCACTGCATAGGCTCTGGTCTTTCTTATGCATGGTTAAAGAGGATAAGCCTCTGACCTAGACTAAAAGAATAATTTTTATTATTGTTCCAACATACAATAAATGGGCTTTCTTTCTTGCTTTAATAGAAAAATAATTATTTGTTGTTCTTCCAAATAAAAAAAATCCTAAAAAGAAATAGAACACCTTTAAACTTCCAAAAGTTATAAATAATACTTATTTCAAAAGTCTTCTGTGAGTTTATTAATTAAATGATAGATCCCTGACTTAAATAGTGAAAAGGTTGCTTTTGAGATAATTATTATATATTGCCTTTCAAAGTTGGTTCAATTTTTTTTCATGTTTGCTAGTGATATAGATATTTTTGATATAATAGTTGTCACAAATATTAAATAAAATAAAATAAATAAATAAATATTTAACAACATCACATACATTGCTCAGATTCCAAGATGAGTAGCTAAAGCCCCTGTATTATGGAGTATCTGAGACAGCGAAGGTACCACAACACCCAGACCCGAGTCAATATAGAAAAGTTTTATTTTCTACATTGACCCGACTGGGAATCGAACCCGGGACCTCAGAGATGGCGACACTTGAAACCAGCGTGCGAACCACTCGGCTATGGAGGTTGATATAAATATCTATATAAAATCTCTATATAAATGAAAATATTCAACATAATGAAAGTCTTAGTAAAGAAGACTTTGTTTATTTGATTGACATAATTTTTTTGAATAATTCTATACTCATACAGAGGAAAGATTTGATTGCTTGTTTATTTAACCTATTGGATCATTTTAAAAGTCTTATCTATGAGAAGCTACATAATACATTTACATAGTCATGGGGAAGCAGCTAGTTTGGTAGAAATTGGTTCACAATTCAAGAAATTGATCGACATACCTACTTGGATAAAATATATGGATAGTCATTGAACTCAGAAAATTCTACTTATGGGTTTTGAATGAATTTTAAGTACGCTATCTTTTGCTTTTTAGCTAAAATACAATACATTTATCTAAATATTTAGGTGATATGGTAAACTTATTTTGTTTTGTTGTACAACAAAACATATAAAAAAAAACATAGATCGCCATGCAACATTTAAACTCCTCTTTTTGGATTTTGAACTCTGATATTAATTAGAAACCAAGAAAGACTTCTTAAATATTTATTCTACAATAAATTATTCTTATCAACAAGTTTTCTAGGAAGTAGTAGTATTATAATCAATAATCATGAAATATGTAGGAAATAATTTATGTAAAATATGTAGGCTTGAAATACAAGACAATAATTTATAATATTATTAAAAAACATGGTTTTATGCTGAAACTTCTTTGTCCAGGTATATGTAAAGATGCGCTATAAGACAAGCAGCCAACTTCGTTTAGTGAAGTTGTCAATGATTGATTTAGCGGGCAGCGAGAGAGCGTCAGCCACTGGTTGTGTTGGTGAACGTTTCAAGGAAGGTGCTAATATCAATAAGAGTTTGTTATCACTTGGCAATTGTATCAATAAGCTCGCTGATGGCAGCAGTTATATACCTTATAGGTAGGTTTCCAGTGGAATTTCAGATTCGTTAGTTTTGTCTATTAATAGATACACTATTTATAGTTATATTCTCTGTACGTATTTCTTAGGTATCTTTGCACGCTACTCATTAAGGGTTGATGCACACTCATCGACGGCGTTGGACGGTTTGTTTACATAAATAGTGTAAAATATGGAACGATTACGCATCTGGCGCAAATGGAGACAAAACACGATCAGTTGTTGGCGGTGTAGGGCCACAAACTGGTGCGGATGGTTCATAGAAACATAAGCATTTCTATCAAGAATGCGCGTAGTACAGCGGTCGCCTCTGCCGTCTGCGGGCGTTCAGTTTGCGGCCTATAAGATGTAACATATTATACAAAGTACAGTTAATTGATTGCTTGCAAAATACAAGAAAATATGATTTGTCAATTGAATTGTCCATCGTGCTTAAGAGGCAATAACATTAACAAATGTTTTTTATTGTGTTTGTGACGATTCGTCCGCATATGGAGCTGGATGGTATCTTACGGCTGCGTATAAATGCATACGCGACAGCTGTTTACGGATGCAAACTCCTAAGTAAGAGGGGGATCGACTCAATGGTACTTTTCAATCGGCAAATTGCAAAGGGCGGTCGGTTGATAAACGTGCATCGACCCTTAATAAAATGCTTGTAAATGGTTTTTTTTATCCCATATGTATTTTTTAAATATTATATTCCATGATCACTAGGTTCATCCTTTGAACAATTCAGATCTTAACTACGCAGCAATTAAATATTTATCTAAATATATATTTTTTATATTAAGACAGAACTCTGAGAACTATTAACAATATCGATAGATTAATAGAATAAATCAATATTTTCCTTTAAAGCATTGTTGTTGTTACAGAGATTCCAAACTCACTCGCCTTCTAAAAGACAGTCTCGGTGGCAACTGTAAAACTGTAATGATCGCAAATGTGTCACCAGCTCATATTAGTTATGAAGATACATACAACACTCTTAAATATGCAGCTAGAGCCAACAAAATACAGCTTAGCATAAAGAAAAATATAGTCGATGGTGATATGAGACTGTCACAGTATGTGAAGATCAATGAAGAATTAAAGAAGAAGGTGAAGGAATTGGAAGCTAAATTGACTTTATCGAGTGTCCGTGTCGTGTCAAAAGAGCCAGATATGGCTAAAGAAAAAGGTATCTATTCAATTTACTTACTAGCTGTTTTCAAGCGACTTCGAGTCTAGTCTATGCCATCTGCCTATGCATCTTTCTGTATGTAAAATAATTATCATGAGTTCAGTATGTTCAAACAAAGTTAGAATCTTTTCCTCTATATAATATTAGGGAGAGACGAGAACTAAAACCGCTCCTATTTGTTTTGATGACACCATTGCATAATATTATATGCTAATGATAGTTAAATAACATAAAAAATCATTAAAAATCTATTTGTTCTGCAATTGCAAATTTTAAATAATTTTCGTCTAGGCGAATTGTAATTTCATGTTTCTTCAAACGTCGAAAGATAGCATCTGTAGTCACTAGTATACACTAATTTACCCTTGGTCTGCATGTCGGATTTTTGCCTCTTTTCCGTATCTTATTCTATTCAAAAGGAACGCCTGTGCATTAATAAGCTGATGATTATGAACGTTTAACAGCGAAACAAGAATGGCGTCGCCGTATACAAGAGTTGGAAGAAGAGCACGCAACGTTAGAAGAGCACTTGCTCTGTCTGATGTCGAGGCAGCGTGTTTTGGCGCTCCGGCATCGGTTAAGAACACGAGCATTCAGTCACGTGGCTGACCTGGCTCACCGTTCCTCGTGCGAAGCTATGGAAAAGGTAAATGATACATTTAATTTATTCATTTCAGCATAATAATATTATTATTAGCTGACCCGACATATGTTGTCCTGTCCTAATTATGAGTATTGATTTCGAATCGGTATAATTAATAATTGAATATTATAAAAAAGTTTTTACTGTTTTAATTTGTAGCAAACGATATTTGCAGCACGCATTCTGGCAATTGTATATCAAACGTCATAAGGTTTCTTTCAAAAAGTTTATATTATTTAAAGCCCTATGGTTAGATTAGAACAAATTTTAAATTGTAATTAAATATTCTTATATCTTCCTCACAATTTTCTTATTATTTTCTTTTATAAGAACCTCCTTACAATAACAAACACAACTAAAAAAGAATTAGCGAAATAGGGATTATATATATATATATAGATTAATATTAAAAATAGTGACTTAAACCTCACCATGTATATCTCCCTGGTTATACATGGTGAGGTTTAAGACTACCCCTCTCCCTCTTTCAACTAAATCACATGTATTTAAAAAAAACAAAAATCTTAATTTTTGACGTCGCTTTTCGAGGAAAAAAATAAATACACGTGATATTCCCCTCTCCACCCTCGTGATATTTCGTGACTTTTGACGAATCCCTCCCCCCCTTTTCGAGCCTCACGTGATTTACGGACGGCCCCTATCTAATATACTGGTTTTTCAAAATTAGTTGAATGTGTTGGTAGAAGAACTAAATTTCTCCATACAAATTCTTAACGCGCTCACTAGTGAACGCGTTAACGTAAAACTTACACTTACCACTGAATACAAGTCGACCCACTTGCGTATTTGAGGTGTCTTGGCGCTTTCTGTGGCACACACGCGCCGTATGTTCTGTGTGTAGCAGTTTTATTAGGTACTGGCTTTTGCCCGCGACTTCGTCCGCGTGGTAAAGTTACTTTCAGCAGCATTTCTAACGAATTTATTCATTATATCGTGTAAAATACCTGAAATAAAGTTCCATCCCCTATTTTATCCCCTTATCGGTGTAATTAATCAAAATCCTTTCTTAGAGGATGCCAACGTCATAGTAGCTTTATGCATGCAAAGTCTCAGCCCGATCGGTTTCAAATTGTCAAAGTTTTATACAAACTTTCATCCCCTATTTTATCCCCTTGGGGGTAGAATTGATAAAATCCTTTCTTAGCGGAAGCCTACGTCATAACATCTACCTGCATGCCAAATTTCAGCCCGATCCGTCCAGTGGTCTGGTCTGTGCGTTGATAGATCAGTCAGTCACTTTTGAATTATATATATATATATTGTTATAAACAATACATATTTTATCATATTCAAGCATTATGGATGCACTGTCATTTTTGAGGTGCTTCAACTTTTTGCTAATTGCAAGTGAGAGATGCATGAATATAGCGGAGGGGGAAATTTACTTTTGTTGACAAGAGAGGGAGGGGTGGGAGGGAATTAATACAAATAATCTGCTTACGCAATACTAGAATGACCTCTTATCAGAAAAAATCTTTTAATTCAGATGTGCAATGAAGACATCCCACGGCAAGAGCGGGCTGCAGAGAGTTACGTTAAGCAATCGTCACATCTCGACTCAAAAGTTATGACTACTTGGACTAAATGGGACGACAGCAGGAGAAAACTCCACAGTATATGCGAACAAGCACTCGCAGACTGCCCAGAACTCATTGACTTTGTTGACAAACTACAATTAAACAGTGAACTGCGCCATATGAAAGCCAGAGATGAACTGAGATATAAACTACTCATTATTGAAAATGAAGAGATAAATGCCTTCACAGAGTACATGAGTGATATGCCTAGCATGCTTAAGAAACTGTATCTAACATTAAAAGGGTACGATAAAGCGCCTCCAGCGCTAACAAACGAATATCTTGAGATTATGAAAAAGGCTAAGTCTGCTAAAGGGATCACTTGGTCAGACAAAGATATGGAATGCGATGCACATTTTAAATTCGTTTCCAACCTAGAGCTGGATAAACCCACATCGACCATAGATTTTATATCTAAAAAGGACTTTAATACAACGGTTGACATTGGTACTGATAGCGAATGCCAAAGCGATATAGAAAATAGGGAACCCATGCGATTATGTGGAAATAAGCGCAAAGGTACGCCAATAAAGTTGATGAACAACGAAACTATAATAATAAACGATTCCTTGGAAAGTTTGGACGCGTCTAGGAATTTAAATTCAGCTAAGAAAGTTAAAAAAGAGTTTGGTATTGTGCCCGAGATAGAAAACTATGGCGCTTTTGACCTGAAAGATATGAATTCGACTTTTGTATTGGCGGGGAAAATAGAATCTATGAAGAAACCTATCGTGAAACAGGAGGTGACGAAGGAACCGCCAAAGAGAGGACTCGTTGACAGGACTAACGTTATACAGAGGACTATAAGTTTTAACGACAAAGGTTAGTATACATCATTCTTTTTATTTTAACACATATTCAAACTATCAGCGTAATTCTTGTTGCTGGCTCTGTACTTGTTGTTGCAAAACGTGAACTTTGTGTATTTAAAATTAATGCCAATTTAACTAGTCAGTAAAAAAAATTGATTACTAAGACTCCGCTCTCCGTCTACTTGTAACCAGACTGAATCTTATGAACCGTAATTACAATTACTAAAAACAGAATATTTTTTTTTTTTTAACATGCCATTTAACATCAAATGCTTAGACTTATAAACACATTGTCGCCAAACCGTAAAACATTTTTTGACAGGACTGTTTGTTTATCTCCTTTACATTGGGCAATAAATTAATTACTACATAAAATTCATATAATTTGTTCACCAGCCAAGATAGTGAAACCTTTGGTTGGCAAAGCACTGCCATTCAGACGTCCAACGCCCGGTTTTGGATCAAGTTTATCCCGAGACGGTACACCACTACAGAGGACTGTGCAAGGTAAATATTAAAGTTTGAGTGATTAAAAAAAAAAAATAGAAATAGTCCTTTTTATCCACAGATATCTTTATTTTTATTTAATTATTTCATACATTATAATAACATAAATTATGATAACGTACGTTTGAGTTAATTTTGCTTTAATAGGCCACTCATAATTTTGCAATAAATATAGCGTCATATAAGATGCGTAGAATTTTTTTTTAGATATTTAAAGAAATAGTGTTCTATATGTGTATATTTGTTGGTTTTTTTTTTTATGAAATTTGAATGTATTCCCGATGGCTTTACGTAATTTTAGCTATTATTTGGGTTGTAAATTATTATTAACTTTGGTTTGGCGTTTGCCTCTTTTATAACCAGCGCCATTTTTCTTTATTTAATTGTGGTGAATGGTATTTGTTTTTATTCTGAGTGTTTGTGTCCGTCCCCTTATTTGTAGTGTAGACGTAATGGTTATGTTCAAAATTAAAATGAATAATCTAAAATCTGAGATCGAAGTAAAAAGGGAATGTATGCTTCGTTTAAATTTGTATCAACTAAATAGGTAATGACATCTTAGCATGTCAATCTAGGCAGAAAAACGATAAGATTATATGTAATGTGTAAGCGAAAAAACGGACGGTGACACAAGTATTATGTGAGCATCGATAAAGTTATTATACATTAATCTTTTAAAAAGTTTTTGCGATTATATAGTATGTAATCTTCAACACAGAATGAACTGAGCGTCGAAAGAAAACAATACGTGTTGTTCCCTATATCACTGTATCGTTTCCACGTGATATTGCACGGGACGATATAGGTCGCTGACCTCATTCCGTTCATCAAAATATACTACAGCGCGGACATGGGCGTACCCAACATTTGCGATTAATAACATAAATTTCAGATGTTTTTAATGAATACCTATATCAATACTGCGAACATTATCTACACATAGATACCAGCTAAAGTCTCGGTTTTTGAATAATGTGTATTTTTAATAATATTTTTTTTTTATATTTGTATCTTCAAGCTTCAGCTTCAATTCAGGTTTGTTGAGGGTGGGGCAAGCCTATGCCCCACCGTTGTTACGTGCATTAACGCGGAAATAACAAATCTGTATGGTTAGCGATACGTATCGTTTTCTTTCACATCATAGTTTATGCCATTTTGTTAGCACAAATAAATAAATATTAGACAGCGTCTCATTGATATATCGCATTGACTGATACCCAAATTAGTAGGTATCTAATGCCCTCGTATTATGGAAATCTGTAATAAAGAAGGGTACCACAACACCCAAATACGCGAGACAATTCAGTGTCTCTAAGCTGATGCCTCAGAGATTGTGACACGGAAACCGACTCGCGAGTAGCTCCGCTACGGTGGTCTTTATATAATCAAAGATGAAATCTGTGAAATGTATTTTCAGATCATTCGCTATTTATAATTGACTAGATTTCGGCCAAGGGCGTTAGCTCGCGTGGTCCTGCTTTATACATACCTATAACCTTCCTCTCTGGAATCACTTTATATTGATGAGATCTGCATTAAAATACGTTGTGTAATTAACATGATCTCAGCGTACAGACAAGACAGCAGGAAGCTACTTTGTTTATCTGACTAGCTTTCCGTCGCCGGCTTCGCCCGCGTGGTCCTGTATATATACTTATTATTATAAAGGGGAAAGATTTGAATGTCTGTTTGTTTGTTTGCAATGAATATGCTCCGAAACTATTGGATCGACTTTAAAAATTCTTTTACCTACGGGAAGCTACATTACATGCGGTGAAAGTAGGTTATGTTTTATCCCGAAAAACAGCAAATAAAGGGATGAAAATGGGAGTGGAGGTTTGTGTAGCGAATTAAAATGTCACCATAGCAACCATTGTTCACTATTCAATTTGTCATTTCTAATTATATCCAAGGAAACAGTTCCCCAAGGCCTACGCGGGCGAAGCCGCCGGTGGAAAACTAGTTATACAACCTTCCTCTTGAATCACTGTATATTGATGAAATCCGTTTTAAAATTTAGTTTTTCGTTGTTCATTATTATTCGTTGTGTACAGACAGTGGGAAGCGACTTTGTTTATATATAGACTATAGTAAAAGAAAAATTAGTCATTATATTTTAAATAGATCCGCTTTATTAAAAATCTTGAAAAACTTCAAATAAATGCATACTTATTAATTATTTGTGTGTTTACATGTACTTAATGACATATAATTAAGTTAAAAATCTATTAACTACTTATCTAATTAATTACTTGTATATCAGCCATTATACTTGATGATGTTAATAGATAAATTATTCATTCTGTTTATGAATAGAACCGCTTTATTGAAAATCTTGAATCACTTAATTCGAGTATCGTTGAACCTAATCATATCAATTAAGTGCATACTCGACACTGATTCGATTAAGGCCTACCGGTGTTGTTCGCTGCGGACCGCAGCCAACAGGTACTTACTACTTTTCCGATTGAAATATTAGGGTTGCCTGTGGAAATTATTGCAAATTAAATTTCAATGAAATTAGCTCGTTCGGTATGCGATATGGCAGTCAAGCAACTTTAGCAAGGGCCGCTCATAGGATGGGTGACCGAAATGTTATTATCACGTGCTCCTCTGTGATTCGAAAGGCTCGTTAAGCTATTGGTCGCGGCTGCATCTGCTGTAGTTAACATCTATCCGCATTGCACCCGCGTGGTCCTACATTTGATTCAGTCCATAAGATAGGTATATGCCTTAGGTGGCGACATTAATGTGCTGATAATGAAGATGAAATTAAACATGAAAGTTTTATATGAGCTATTAAAAATAGACTAAGGTTGAAATAGACTAACAAAAAATGAAGACTCGTGGTCCACGCGCCGGTTTTTGGGGTCCCTGGGTCGATTCCTGGGCGGGTCAATGTAGAAAATGGACTTTACTATAATCGTATCGGGTTTTGGTGTTGTGGTACCTTCGTCTTTCAGATACTTCATGGTACGGGAGTTTTAGCTAATCATCTGAGAGTCGGAGCAATGCATGTGATGATATATATATATATACATATATATTTTATTAAAGTTTATTATATCTAGTGGATTATGAGGATTACAGCTCGCCCATCTTTCTTTATACTAATGCAATATATCCAGCTTAAATAAAATGACGTTGAGATATTAAAATGTAATCTCTTTATAATAGAAAAGCTATAATTAAATTCACTAAAGGAAAGTTAGGATTGAAACAAAAAGGTTTTGTTTACATTTTCATTTGTTTGAAATTTCCATTAAATTGGATTGATACAGACTTCACTCAATTTTGGGATTAGAGTGCAGAGTTAAAGTGACGTCATCCAATATTTATTTTTCCCTTTCCCATAAACTCACCCAGCAAAATGTTTATCACCTGTTACACTTTCCTTTAAAACAGCTTTCACAATAGTCTAAGAGATCGTTATAAAAATGTGCAAGAGCTTTCTAAATCTTGATAATTCAATAAGTTATATATTAAAATAGCAAGAAAACATTAATTTTTAAATATGGAATATATAAAAAAAAAATCTATTTAATAGCCCGTCAGTCAGATAATAGAAATAAATTCGTATATTATTGCTTAGCTTAGATAATAGTAATAGGCATTAAAGTTGAGGAGTGGGGGTTCGCTACGTCACAACTGTGTAGAAAATGTACAAAGGTGTAACGTCATGCGACATTTCAAGTTAATATAATTATTGATAACGCAAAAATTCGTGTTTAATATTCTCTGATAAGCCATTTGTCTGTAGCTATATCTAAGCTGACAACAAACAAAAAATAGTCATTATCCCTTATCCATATTAGATGGTGATTGTAGTTAAATGTTAACATGCTAACATTGCGTAACGTGTTTGTCTATTAACCCACTAACAGAGTCAGCACGTATGAAGACGAATTTGACTCAAAAGGCAGTCGGTTTTAAAGCAGTGAGGGCGCGAGAACGACCACAGAACCATCCGTATTCAAGACCACCGATGGCTACCAGGAAGTGACCTTAATCAAGGACTTGGATCTGGTTAAAAGAAGTGTAAGGCGGTATCAACTGATTCGACAGGTATTTACTAATAAGTGTAGTAAAGTGTGATTGTGATTAAAAATGAGTGGGTTTCTCGTTGTATTTTAGTTTTTCACGGTTTTATTGACATAATTGCAAAATTAACTTGTTTTTTTTTTTTATTATGTTCTTATTTTATTGTGAAAATGTAGCGCGCAATATGTGAATAGTTTGTCTTTGATCGACGCTGTGCGGTGTGTCGTAATTTCGTTTTCTCTTTTGCTTGTACACACTCTTAAGACTGTCGTGAATTAATATATAAAAAATAATATATTCAAGAAAATATACAGGGTCATTTGTGAAACACTAGATATTCATTTTAAACAATAACTTTGATCCAAGAATTTAAATAAAAATTAAGTTTTGTTGTACTGTAGTGGCATTTATAAACTGTTTTTTATTAATAAGCGAAAGGACGTCTCTACGATCTATAGATACTACATTTGCGTAGAGTTATGAACCTTTGAGTAGTAAATTAATTATTATATTTTTGTACCAAAGTAAAATGTAATAAATTATCAAGATTCTTATTAAAGAACAGGGTACGACCGCTTTCTAGCCATTGGATACGGCATCTTATCGGTGTTATGCCGATATTTCGTTTCATTTTGTTACTTTAACACGGTAAGTACATGTAAGGAAAAATTAACGATAAAGAATGATAGTTATGGATTTGATAGCTATGTTACGAAATTAGTCATTTATCCCAAATTTATCCACCAAACGACTTATCAAAGTAGTAATATGAAATGAAATATCGTCATAACATAACTAAGGTTTTGTATCCTATGGCTAGAATCAATGCAATTGAGTTAGGCAGTCGCTTAGCAGGCGTTGTTGTTTATAACCTAGCCGTCTATATCTGAGAGGTTGCTGGTGGCAATATAACCCTGTATAAAAATTTTGATTTGCAAAAGGGGTTTTTAGGATATAGTTAATAAAATACTAAAAAAGTATTGTCAAGAAAAAGTATCGTACCCATTATCGTAAATAATCAAAATTTTTAGAGTCCAAAAAAATTATTGAGTACGAATCGAATGCGTATCGAGTACATATGTAATATGTCAAAATTTGTATTGATTTTTGCGCAGTTGCACCTACCTATCTCTGTGCACTAAAATTTCCATTACAAAAATGTTGCATTACAATATGAATTAACTAATTACATTGCTAGTCTTCGTTTGAAAAAATTCAAATAGTTTACTACAATTTATGAATAAGAAGGGCAGTTGTTAGTGTTATTTATGCAATCAAAGCAACTGGTATTTCTTAATCTTACTCAAACACCGTCCCTAAAATTGTAATAAGTCGATTTATGCGTTTAACTCTTTTGCACAATATTAAAAAATATTAATAAATTTATAAAAGAATTGGTTCTCTTTTTCAAAACAAAAAGGGTGAATTGTAGTAAATCCCTAATTTGAAATAAATGAATGTTGAAAGAAAAAGGATACGGATTGTAGCACAACCTCAGTATCATTTGATTCATTCAATAAACATGTAATATTACCGCTTTTTCACATAGCATGGGTAAGGTGGCATCTGGGATTTAAGCTTTTAGTGATGTGGTAATAAAAAATATATAAATCGATGTTATTGAGTACATTTCTTATAGAGATAATGGATTTCAAGATCAATATATATAATATAATATATATAAAACAGGATTTCAGAATAATATCTATTTATCAACAAGATGACCTCCTATCAGAAGAATAAAAATAAATACAAAATATTAAAAAATATAAAAAATATTAATCGAAATATGTATGATTACTAAATACATATTTCGATTAAAACGATTTTATTAGATTGATTATTACTAAATACATATTTCGATTAAAAAAAATTTATTAAATCAATCCTTATTTAAAAAACGTTCCAGTTTCCATTACAAGAGTTGATGAAACTTTTAAGGGTTACATTTCAGTAATTATGGCTATTAAATTTTTATTTGTGTTTTAATTGTAATTTAAATAAATATGTAATATCTACACAGTCAAACTATCTTTTATAACGATGGTGTTTAATTATTTAGAAATACAAATTGAGTGATATGGATTTGTTAACAAACGTTACCGTACCCGTACTATGTGAAACGGACTATAGTGTCGCATGTCAAGAGTATCGAACGCCACAATTCCAACGTCGATAGATTGCGATTGATACTATATTTTTCTTACTAAATGGAATTCAGTTTCAGGTAAATAATGTTATTTTAACATAAAGATTGTCACGATTTTTTTTTAAGTCGGAAACGTTAGCTAGTGTACATAAAATCAAACTCACAGACGGTCATCATGATTTTGAGTCGTTTTGAAAAAATACTGTAGAGGAGAGAATAGAATTTTGAACATGAAAGAAAGAAGACTTATAAAAGAAAACTATTTTAGTATATTTCCTTGTTTTTGTATTGAAAAACGTGACATCTAGGCTCGTTTAAGATTTTCTTAATTGGTTTCTTGTAAATATGCCTAACGTACAAAGACACCAATGGGGCTGGTAAATGAAGGAGAAGTCTCCTTTTTTTCCTCCTCAGCTGTTTTCATTCCCCGTCGTAGATTTTCACACCAGCTATGCAGTTGTTCTACTTTTATAATTGTTTTTTTATAATGTATAATTATTGCTTATTTGATTTGTTGCTATACACAAATGCTTTGAAAGTAATAAATACCAGAAAAATAAAAATTAATTTCAGATTTCACTAATATATAACAAGTTTTTTTTTGTAAAAAAATCATACCTTATTATTGTTGAATTATGATTGATTTGATTGAAATTATGAATTATGAAGATGTGAATGTAATGTTACTTAAGGTGTAGAACAACATTATTAATCCATGTAAATTCTGAAATGAGAAAATGAAATTATGTCCACAAGGTGTTTTTATGAGTGAGAATTTGTCAAACAAACATAAAGACTACCATTTTAAAATTCGTATGTATATAACAACATTTATTCAGATGAATTAATCAATGTAATTAGTTAATAGAGTAACGATAAAGCTCGAAGGCTACAGCCGTTTAGGTACCGCATACATACGATTCAATATAAGGGACTGTGTACACTAACAGAGCGGCACGGCAATACTTTTTTTAAATTCCAGTGATTTATATTTCGAGAATAATTAGTGAATAATGCTGATGATGTTAAATCAAGTCTAATAAATCCATTTTATGAGTGAAGGTGGGAACGTCATGGTGTTATTCTATATGACACGGTCTGTGAATTAGGCTATTTATAATATACAGGGTAATATTTTAATCAGTTCGCTTTTTTTCTTTTGCTTTAGTATTGTTACACTAAAAAAATAGTATAGTAGTTTATTTAGATAAAAATATTTATTAAGATTTTAATATATCATTATGTAGCAAAATAACTGCAGGTATATCGATAAAAGTCAGTCGTTAACCTTTCGAAAGAAGGAAAGATGACAGTAGCAGTACATAGTAGCCACGTATTTATAGACATATCTTTTCTTACTTATATCCTTGGTTTTGTTTAACAAATGCTATTCACGTACTGACAAAAAATTTCCTGTATATTATATATTAGTTCATTGTAATATTAAGATTAAAAAAAAAATGCGTTTTGCATTCATACAAAACAGAATACATCAACCGTGACGTCCTCTACCATGAGAAATGATTATTCCTAAATAAATTACATACGTTTTCCATATAAATGATGTACAGTAAATTTAAATAATATGGCACATGCTGAATGTTCATTTCCGCAGAGCAGACTTACCATTCCGATAACTGAGCGTAAGATTGAAATTTATAATCAATCTCATGTTTTAATAACAAGAAGGTGCAAAATAAAACGCGTCCGTCTTATTCGCATATCGCGGGGGCCTGGCGCGCGGATTGTTCTATGGCGCGTTATTTGAATCATTCTGATTGGCCAGGATTTGCCGCGTGTTGAAGTTTGCGCGGGAACATCGGTGGGCCATATTGTTTAACCTACTGTACGATAAAAGCATGTTAAAATTATAAGCCGTATTCATTGATTTGTGTCCATATTGTACATACAGGCAGAAGAATTGGCAGATTAATTATAATGAACCATCAAGAAAGAATAATGTTTAAAGTAATATAGTACAGATATTAAAAGAAAAATATGTAATGTAAACGTATTTGCAAGTTCACAGAAAATATAGAAATGAATTTTTAGAATGAACGGTGTTTTAATAACAATACTGATTTCAATTTTATTAAGTTTAGTATAGCAAATATGTTTTTTTAGCTTTAATACTTTTAGATTTTTGTGAAGCAATTGTATTTATTACAGAATAATGTTTTTTTTAGGATATATTGTATTGTAATTCTATTTTTTTAGGATTGATTGTACATGTAAATTGATATAGATTTTTTGTTAAGGTAATTACAAATTTATATTATTTCGTATAGTAGACTTGCTTTTAAGACACTTTATCATCGTAATTGATTTTTAAGAAAATATATTATTAGCGTACCTTGTGAATTTTCGAGATAATATTGTGGTATTGTGTGTAGGGGTCTTAATCGTTACAATTGCTTAGACGATCGTTTAAATATATGAAGCTGCCAATTATTATGTATTATACAGGTATGAATGTGAGTGACTTTAGGCACTAACATTAAGATAATGACTGATGTATTTTGATAAGTTTAGTGAGTTATGATTGTGTGATGATTCAAATATATGGTTAAAATTGAGATTTATCGTTTCATTTAAAACGTACGTAGCTACAAAGTTTTTATGGCATCTCAAAAAGATATTTATAATTTTACATTCTCAAAAGAAGGAGCAGTTCCAAAAAATATGTCTTATTAATATTAATAAAAGTATGAAAGAATTTGGAATTTATCAATATAAGAAGAATTTCTCTGCTTGGACTGCGTTCCTTCATTTTCATTATATTTTATAACGGAAAAGGCGACATAAATTACTTCTAAATTGTTGACGGGCGAAATATAGGAGCCTAACAGTAAGGTTAATTAAAATTGACGTCAACCGACGATGGGCCCGAGTTTCACTCCCCTTAGGTAATAAAAAATCGGGGCAAGGTGTCAACAAAAACCGTACCCACCGCAAATGAATTGATTCAACGCAATCAATTTTTTCCCGCCGCCCTGGACTCCGAGCGACTCGCTCATTCGCTCCCGCCTTGATTAAATCGGTCAATCATTCAGTCTTACCGTTCAGTTAACTGGAAAATTGGTAATTAGATGGTATAGGTGATAAACTGTAGAAATTTAGTATGTTTCGACG